GGGGGGTTTGGTTTGCGGCGAGCGGAAAGCTGCGTGTTGGAGCCTGTTCCAGAGGACTCGGTCGATGCTGGTAGCGCAGCTTTTCCTTGAGGACTCGGGGGGTTTTGTTTGCTCAGCCTGCAGGGAAGGACAAGGTAGCCAAGCCGGTGTTGTGCCCCCTGAGCTGCTGTGTTCTGCCCAGCTGGAAGGGCACACTCTGCATGTTGGGTTAGAGTTTGGGTTAGGGAGTGTGATCAACTCCTGACTCCGTCTTCTCTCTGTTTTTTTGTAACTCCTGCTGCTCCTCCAGACATGGATGACGAAGGCAACAACACCAGCCTTGAGGTACGAGGTGCTTTGCTCTTCTTTTTGGACGTGCTTATTTCCACGTTCGTATTTCCAGAAGCTGAAAGCCACTGTACCTGGTTTGATAACTTCTGTGTAATGTCTTCAGATGCAAATCTTTTACTTGAAAAGAACCTTTCCTGATAAGACTGTTAGCTTTCCAAATGTTTCAAGATTGGTCCCACTTTTATCTGTGTGTGTTTGTAGATGTGGTGGCCTTGGTGGTGCTGGGTGAACAGTTGGACTGGATGTTCTTAAAGGTCTTTGCCAATCAAAACAATTCTACAATTCTGTGATTTTATGGTGGCTTTTTTGTTTTGTTTTTAATTGCAAACAATTCTCACTCTGCTTTGTATTTGAAGCTCTAAGTGATGTTAGAGTGACACAACTTAGGTAGCTTTTGCTTCAACGGGACCTTTTTAGCCTAAAGATGGAAGAGTTGCAGAGCTCTCTGGCAGTTCACTCTGCCTGTGTTTGTTCTTCATGATAAACACTAAACTCATAGTCCAACAAGTCACGTGGTGCTTTTCATAGTAATGAGAGACAAGGCTCATGGTAGGAAATAGTTCTCAGAACAAAAAAATACACACAGCCTACTCCTATGTAGTTAAAATGGGTTTCTGAAAGTCCTGTGTCTGTGGTCAGTCCATGGGCATGTCCTCTGTGCTCAGGATGAGGTTTCATCTTCTGGGCAAGACTAATCTGAAGGCTCTGCTCTTGGTAGGTGTTTCCACCCCTCCCTCAGTGGGATGTGTCTCATTGTTTGCCTTGGATGGTTGTGTGGAGCTGTTAAACTCTCAGTCAAGCTGCTCCTTTCTTGCTTGGGATGAGTGTGAGCATGATGTGAGCAGTATATTTTTGTTAATTACTGCTCATTCTCATTTTCTTAATGAAATTTAAACATCATTGGTTATGCAGCAGTATATTTTTGTTAATTACTGCTCATTTTCATTTTCTTAATGAAATTTAAACATCATTGGCAAAAGCAGGTTAGTGCAGTTGATGGCAATCCATGCACTTGGCATGTCCCTGCTCCGTTTCTGATGGAGTGAGGGTCTTTTCAGGGGTGTTCCACCTCTGTGTTGTCTCCAAGGGTTGTTTGAGGCTGTGGAAGGCATGTGGGAAGTCCCTGAATTTTGATTCTGCTGTAGCCCTCCTGAGAGAGGTCCTGCAGGCCTGGGCTGCTGGAAGGGCCCTGGAGAGCTGGTGACTTAGCCATGACCTCACATCTCCCCCAGGTGCTCTCACAGTCACTGCTCCGTGTCTCCAGCCTCCCTACGCTTGCAACCTGTCTGCTTGCTTCCTCTGCCTGAAAAATGGAACAATATTTTCCTGGTGGTTGTGAGAAACCTGTCAGGAACCTCTCAGTTTTTCTTGGAAATTTCCTGAATTTCTTCTCTCCCTCAGTGTTTTTCTGCTTGAGGCATGAGGGCTCAGTCTGTGCATTTCTGTGTTTTATTCTTTTGCTCACAAGTGTGTTTCTTCTCCCCCTGTAGCAGCAACGTGACTGGCAGTTGGCAACTACTATTTCTGATGTTATTTGAGATCCTGCAGGCCTGGACAGTGGCAGAACCTTGTGTGTCTCTGCCATGTCAAGGGGAAATATATTAAATGATCACAGTAGATTTATACCAGTAACTCACTGTTTTTTGCCAGGATGTATTTATTGCTAACATGTTTTCAACTTTTTTTGTTTTTTAAATTCTTGTGACCTTCCACTACAATCCCACTAATAATGATAGTGGGATAATAATAGTGGTAGAGTTAGTTTGACTAGTGAAGGGATGTGCTGAGTTAGAGCAGCTGAAGAAGGCAAACTGAAGCCAGGGATGTGTTTGTGCTGCCTGGTCAGGCAGGAGTTGGTAGAACTGCAACAAACTTCATGAGAGACAAGTCTGGTGACTCATAGTGTGTTTTAATTTTCCTCTTGGTGGCAAAGCTAAATTAAGAGACCATCCAGATCTGGACCTGAGGGCAAACACTGGGACCAGAACAGCCTGTAGCACTTCAGATTCAAGCACTTGTGAGGCTCAAGACTTACAGGACTTGCTTATCTGTCCTTGGGCTCAGGTTGTTTCCTACTTGATCCTAATATTTGGTTTGCTTTTCTCTCCCTGTTCTGGTATGTTTTGAGGTGGTGTTTGTGAGTTTATTTTAATTGCCAGGATTGTTTCCTGAATAACAACACTCAGCACAGGTCCCAGGACTGTACATCTGAGGGTGGAAGTTTTTCCTGTGTACATAGTTTTCTTTTTATGGTGACTTCATTCTGCTGTTTTATGACTTATTTTCTCAGTCTCATAAAATCCTTTACATTCAGTTCTCATCCTTGTCACTCTGAGTAATTTAGAATAATCCAGTAAGTTTATCACCTCACTGGTTGACCCTGTTTCAGGACTACTTAGGAATGTGTTGAACTGCCCCTGATGTAGAACTGAGCACCTTGTGTTTGCAAAAAGGGCTGAGAGGGAAAGAGGCTGGGAAATGCAGTGAAGTTCAGTTGTATGTGCCACACCAGGCACTGAGGTGTTTTTATGGAGGCTTTTTGCCAGTGTGGGAAACTAATTTCACCTTCCTTTTGTTGCTAGGCTGTGTTACCAGCAGGTGAAACACCAATTATTCAGTTTGTAGAAGACAGAATACAGACAACTATGGTAATGTATGGTTTTAATCAACTGGATGAAAGGTGATGTGTGCTTAAGTAGCTTCTTGGAAGTTTGAGGAAATCTAAGTCCCAGTCAAGGTCTGAGTGTTGGTTTCTTTGCTGTTGCTGTGCATGAGGCAGGAGTTAATTCCTGTGATTTCACCCCATGTACACAGAGTTGATCAACTCACAGATCTTGGGGGGAAGAAATGCTGAATATTTTGCATGTGAGCATGTGAAAATGCTGGATGTTTTGCATTGTGAGCTTGTGAGTGAGACACTAAATGTAATTTAAATTCAAACTCTTGTATGTGTGAGGTTTTAAAAATTTCAACTCTGGAAGTTACTAACTTCTTTCCCTCTCAATTTCTTTCACAGCTGACTGGGATTGCAATTGGAGCTGCAGTTGCACTATTATTTATAGCTGTGGTTGTGTTTGTTGTTTACAGAAGAGTGAAACAATCTAGTAAGTACTGGGTGACTGTGCCTGGTTTAAAGCAGTTTTCTCAGTGATCTTCAGTATTTGTGTAACAATAGGTGGTAGATTCTGTGCCGATTGCTTGCTGTGAAGGTAGTGGTTATTGCAGGAAAACAGCTTCAAAAGGATGAGGAACTTGTGTGGATTCAGTCCCCCGGCTCTGAAGGTGGGATCCAGAACTGCAGGATGCTGGAGGGTTTGGTTTCTCCCCTGTGGGACAGCCTTGGTTTCAGCTGGCATGCAAATAATATCAGCCCTGCTGCAATTTCAGTGTTACAGTAATGAGAATCAAGTGAATTAGAGGTTTCCTTAGTGAGATTAAAATCACCTGATCCTTTTGTCTGTTTAGAGGGCCTTTTGATCTCCTCCAGTGGTTGGGCAGAGCCTCAAGCCAGCTCTTCCCCAGTCTGGCCTGGCTAACCAGGCTTGGGTAACCAGGCTCATGTGTTGGGTTTAGTGCCAAAGGCTGGCCACAAGAGCCTGCTGCTCAGTGGACAGGAGCCATGGCTGTATAGAGGTAGCAGACTTGGCAGCCTGTGCTCTGCTTTGTGTCTCTCAGCATGGAGCTGCAGATGGTTTCTGAGGTGGTGCTGCTCTTTTTCAGGACAACTGCAGCCACACGTGCCCCAGTACAGGTTTCGCAAGCGAGACAAGGTGATGTTCTATGGGAGGAAGATCATGAGAAAGGTAAGGGTGGCTTGGGGGCAGGGAAGGAAAGACTGAATCTAGACTGGGAGATGGTGTAAACTTTGCAATGCTTCACTTGTTTGGCTTGGCCCGGGACCTTCAACCTGTAGAATTTCACTGGAATTTTGAGGATGCTGCAGAGCTCCTTGAA